GTAGTTGGTAGGGGGGGGGCGTGCCTCCTACTACTACTACTACTACTACTACTACTACTGCTACTACTGCTACTACTGCTACTACTGCTACTACTACTGCTACTACTGCTACTACGACGACGACGACTCCAAAAGCTAGTAGCAGGTTTTGGCGGTTCTGGTCCTATCTCCCCTTCCACAGCCCATTGCGGCGCTGTTCCCTTGGCTCGCTGCGCTTCCTACCCTAAGCACTACCTTCGACGAGCTCCCCTAAACCATCCGATAAAGCACAGACACAGTCAGAAGCGAGGCCGGAGATTAGCCGATCATTCACCTTCGGTGAGGAGGGAGTCTCTGGAGGCCTGGGACAGCAGACCCGCCCTTGGTCCTGGTCCCGGCATTCCGAACTTGCAGTGTCAACCAAGCCTACATCACAGGTCAGTTCTTCAAGCAGCATTTGGGGCCGGGCCCTTGGCACAGCAGATTGCAGGTTGCCCTTGATAGCCCCAGTCAGTAAGGCAAGTAAGTCCTTCTGAAGAACTAATTAATGCAAGCAACCATCGACGCAAAGTAGATTTCATCGAATCTAGGCCCATCTTTTGTGCCCAAACGATTGCCCGAGGGACTGTTTTGATTTCTGCTTTCGAGAGGCGGTGGGGTCTTAGTTGCGTCTGGCAGCTCTGCTCGAAGAATTGCGCAAAGTGGGAGCGTGGCGAATGGCCGGAGTGCGTGAAGACGAGAAGGGGCCCGGCCGGGATCGGTGCACGCGCGAAAAGACAGTACAGGTTGCTGGCACAGTGCGTAGGATCGGTGTGGCATCAGTTTGCCGACTGGTGCTGACATGCGAGGAAGATCAAGCTGAACGATGTAGTGGTCGATTGGAGCAAGCAGGAGCTTTAGTGCAACATCTGCGGTATTGAGACCGTAGGATGCAGTCTCAGACCAGATGACTGCGAAACCGTAGCCGACCAAAGAGAAAAAATGCCCCCCCTTCCTTTCCGGCTTGATTTGGTACTCTCCTGATATTGGCCTGGCCTCATGCACTTGGTCACCCGGTGCAATGGCTTGCCGCAATTTTTTTCGTAGACATAGTAACATCATGGGATTCAACATGCCGCAAGGTTCTTCACTTCAGGCTCTAGAATCTGCACTCAAATGATCGACTTAGCACTATGCCTCCCCTGCTCAAAGATTGGAACATGTTGTCTCCGTCTTCGACTCTGATAGGACCTGTCGCACCTGGCCTCGGCAGAGGCTCCTTGACACCATCTTGGAGGTTTCGTTTCGATCACGGGGATGCCGATTTGTTTATCAGTCTCTGGCCATCTCGTGACTTGCTAGTGCCATCATTGCGCAAGTTCGAAGGCATTCGATGATTACCTTACCGCTCAGATTCGCACAGCGCGAGCCCAAGGAAAGGATGACTTGGAACAGATTGCGAGAAGTTGCAAACTGCTTGTAGCATCGCTTGGAAGAGGTTCCGGGCCGTTCAGATGCAGAATTGCTTTGCTGGTTTACCATATCTTGTAGGGTCCCAGAACTTGAGCCCCGAGTTCAGATTGTGGCAGATAAGAAGCGCTGCGTCCGGACTTTCAGAATTTTGGCTTTTAAATTCAAGCGGAGCCGGAATGCAGACCTTGAGACTCTCGTCACGGATGGGCTGGAAAAGAGCAACTCAAGTCGGTCGGAGCTCTTGCCTGGGTCGCTCAAGCTTTGGGAGAGAAGGGCCTTTGCAGCTGAAGCTGTTGCGACATCTGCCACTACAAGTGGTGGAGCACGAATGCTTGAAGCCTTACATACAAAAGTTACACCAATCGGAAGCACATCCTCAAGCATGTGATTACAAGCTTCGTTGGCGACTCACGTTTCAAGGTCATTTGAGCTGCGTTTTTTTTTCCGTCTCCTTACGGAAGAGTAAAGCTGGACACAAAACTTTCACTCGATCTCGAAATCTTGCTGGCGCTGCGCCCGGAAGGACGCGGAAGCGCTGCGGAAGGCTTTGCGCGCGGAAGGGCGCGGAAGCAACAAATACGTAAGACTCCGCGCCCAAGGAATTCATGCTTCGAATGAGACATAGACTATTACCTGAACCAGCTAGTGTTGTACTCTTCCGGGTTTCAGGTCTGCATCCAGGAATCCCGAGGCAGCCCAGGAACCAACTGGAATTCCTATTCATTGGCACGGATTCCGCCTATGAACCCATCTGTGATCCTACTGTAGCTGTCGGCGGTTTCATATTACATGGTGCCCGCGGTTGCTGAAAGGAGTTGGCGTAACACGTCAAGAGGGGTTTATGCTTTTGCGGAAGGGTTCGCTTGCAAAAGGGTCCGCGGAAGGGCACGGGGAAGGGACGACATGCAGTGACTCAGAAACGTGCCAACGTCTCGAAGCGCGGAAGGCTGCGGAAGCCGTGGCGGAAGGGTTGTGCGGAAGGGGTTTTTGCGTCCTTAGGATGGAAACAGAATAAAAAACACCGCTCATTTGTCGAGGTACATACAACTGTTTGATTTCCGTGCCAAATTTGCAAGAATCCCGTGTTCAAAACATAAGCTAGGCGAGCACAGCTTTACAATTGGTGCCGCGATTCACACGAGCAGTGCAGGCAGCTGTGGTCAGCATCGAGAACATCGACAGTTTTGCTGGACAGTCCAAGGCAAGTCCTCTAAGTAGTGACAACAAATATGATGACAGCTATCGGAAAGGGTCTTGCTTCATGACCTCCGCTACTGCACCAAAAATGGGATCTGAAAATACGTCCCGGCTTGCAAAAGGCCATGACTCAGTGCAGGGTTCGCTTTGACTTTTTCAGTTTAGAGTCCACAGGTCCTACGAATAGAGTACGAGGATGCGAAGTACAAGGCCAAGCAGCAGCTTCTTTTCAACACGGCACTACTTGCTCAAGAATTTCCACAGCTTTTGACAGGCCGTGGCACAGAAATTCAGCTTGATGCCAGATGAGAAGGAAGGCATCAGGCAACATCCTCAAATCGCCGAGAACTTGCATCCACATCTTCTAGTACTCGCAGTGCACTAGGACGGGCACGAACCCGGATTTCCTGCCAAACCTGAGGCGGATGAGCTACCGCGGTGTCATCCCGCTATCATGGCATACCAACCGCGTCTATCTTCATACAAGGACTGTCAGGGGGGCATTGATACGTTGAGGACATCCTTTCAACAAGAGAGAAATCTGAAAGCTGCGTGTGCACGCAGTCAGTGGAGCTTAGGCTGGAATGTCATGTGCGTTGATGCCACCATGGGTCCTTCTTGCTGCAGCTAAGCATTTGAGGACATGGCCGCCTGGCCTGCCCAATTGACTGCGGCAAAAACCTGCTCTATACTACATCAATGTGCGCATTAATCATGGTCATGATTCAGTAAGAACGCGGCTAGCAGGAGGGCTTCGGGCTAACACGTCGTGTCGGTGTCGTCGATTCTACCAGCTGGCTCAAAGGAGAGAGCTGGCTCAGCTGAGCATGTTGAACTTTTGCCGATTCCTCCACTCACGTCGCTTAGGTGCGCGGCTCATCCGGTCACCAGCTGGCCGTCCGGCCATCCAACTTGTAGGAGATTTGGCAGGCGGCAAGCAAGAAAATCAAACAGTCTCGACATGCCAGCAGACACTGCAGCAACAGTGCGAACATGGCGGAGCTTCTCCGGCGAAGTGGAAGTTCAGTTCGAGGAATCCTTCGGCGGCTTTTCAATCACAGGCTTCGTGGTTTGGGAGGCAGCACATCAGTTGAGTAATTTTCTGTGCTCACACAAACTGCTGGTGGAGGGTCAGCGGGTCTTGGAACTGGGCGCTGGTTGTGGCCTCGTCTCTGCTGTGTCAGCTAGCCTGGGTGCAGAGGTGACCGCAACGGATCGAGCAGACATTGTGCCCAGATTGAGATGCACAGCACAGCTTGGGAAGCCGGCCCAGCGATTCGAGGTAGCCCAGCTTGACTGGCACGCGGATCCACCTTGGCCTGCTGGACACTTCGATTTGATCTTGGGCTCTGACATTACATATGGTAGCCACTGCCATGACGACTTGCTTCCGCTTTTGTGGCGTTTGATGGTCGGTTCCAAGACGTCAGCCTTGCTTACACACGGAGTGCGGAGTCCGGAACAAACAGCGCTTCTGTGGCATCAGATCCTCAAGGACTGGCCAGGTACATGTTGGCTTCTGCATGATTACGAAGTGTTGGAAAGATGTCACGTGCAGCATAAGCACGACAGTGATCTACCCGACAAGTGCATAACGTTTGTGCTCGGTGCCACGCGACCTGCCGGTGGAACTCTGCTTGGTGCCGCATACGAAACTTTCCTTATGGTGAGTCAGGAGAGGCCATTAGTTTGTCCCCAACCGGAGCCCGAATTACTCGGCGAAGGCATTCTTGGACCCGCCTTGTTGGCCTGAAGCCGGTCTCCTTAGCTTAGTGGTTATTCTCCAGAATTTGTTGTCTTGCCGGTGTTGAAGCGTTGAAAGTGTAAACCGTCTGATCGGGCATCTGGAGTCTGTACTAGAGAGCACCTGTCGCAGGCCGCAGTAACAGAGTGCAAACAATGAGCTTGCGCTTCGTGCTTATTGTATCAGGGTGTTCGTTGTTTCTCGACTCGACTACAATTGAAATTGGCGACTGATGGGACGTGCAATGCCGTGACCGTACATGTCGTGTGCAGACATGTTGCGGCCGCATTGTACGTCCCCATTGTCGCTGAGGCAGAGTACAGCTCTACACTGCAACCTCAGCTTTTTTAATCCTGTAGGCAGTACACGGGACAGCGCAAAGAAGGAGTATGAAGGAATGTAGAACAAGTATAACGTATAACAAAGCAATGTCCTGCAGCATTGTGTAGCCGTCTTGGTCAGAATGCCACAACAAACAGGTCAGCTGCGAAGATAAGGGAGAAAGGAAGTTAGAGCTGGCAGATGTTGAGTCCGTTCGATTTGAACGAGAGGCAGGTGACTATCCAGAGTTGTAGCATCAGGTCACTGGGACTCCGAGCATGGATCACAACAGCCCACCCTACCCTGCGACAGTCGGATCATGACGAGAATGTCCCGGAATGTTCGTCAGATCTCTCCATTCTCTCATAGTCCTGTAGCTTTTTGTTGCCGGTCTACAGCGTGGCAATCGCCGAGCTGCAAAGTCTGCCGGCAGGGCCGAACAGACGTCTTCAGCATGTCGCTGAGGAAAAGATCGTTTATTGGGGACTCAGATTTGTCCGCAATCGCATTCAAGATCGCATGCTTGCCAGGCTACTTTTGATGATTCGCATTTCGGTCCAAGATGCTGAACATGAGGTGAGACTCACCTCCGACCTAGGAAGGTTGAACATCGAGGATAGCGACTCAGTGTTAAGCCAGTGCATGTGCTGTTTTCAGAAACTAAATACTTGCGCTTCATGGCGTGCATCGCAGGTGTCTGCATGTTTCCGTAAGTTTGTAAAGTAGTTAAAGGTGCAAACGTAGGACGCCATTGTCCGCAAACTTGAACTTTGTGTTCGCTGGACATGTCGACGAAGTCTGTTCCTGACATGGTGGACGATGTGCTCCAAAGGTGGGGTTTGCATTGTTTCCTTTACGGTGCAGCGGATAATACAAGATGTACAAGGCATGTTTGCGAGCTTTCATGCTAAACGAAGAAATGTTATGCACGAGGAATTCCCGTCAGTTGGGAGCTTTGCTCGTAAGTACTTCTTCGACAGTTTCCGTCTGGTCCATCCGGCTGTTGACTTGACATGCAAGGCACCACGCAGAGCTGCTGTCGCAGATGCAAGATTGGTTGCACAACTTAGAACTGAAACTGCAGAAGTATGGGCAGTCCGACCCTCGGCTTCTTCCACATCCCCTTTACGGACCGGCAGTAAGCCACGGGCAGGACAGTGACTTCACGAGGCAGAAAAGCAAGGAAGCGGTAACAGATGAGGAGGGAGTTTCCAAGGCAGATGACGAAGCTTCGGCTCGCGAAGAGAGCAGTGACGAGGGTAACCGACATCATGTTGAAGCAGCGGAGCAGGTTCCCACGTTGAGGAAACCCTTGTCAAGAAGTGAAAGTTACGAGACTGCCAAAATGCAGGCCACGTATGTTGAGTCATGGAAGAACCTCATATCCGATTCACTGGATCTTGACAAGACCGGGCTCGGATCACTCCACAGAAAGGTTTCTGCATGGGCTTACAGACTGGCGAATTCCACGCACTTCAACGCATTCTTTGCTATTGTGATTCTGACAAATTCGGTGTATCTTGGCGCACAAGTGGAACTGACAGCCAACTCGGGAACAATGTTTGTGCATCCAATGTGGTTCATCATTCATCTCGTTTACGTGGGGCTGTTCTCGGTTGAGATCATGATCCGAATATTGGCGGTTGGACCAATCTCCTATGTGTGTGGAAGCAGTTGGGCCTGGCATTGGCTGGACATTGTCGCCGAGTCCTGCTTGCACTTTTCCAGATGTGGTTCGGTGGTGTTGCTGTTCGAAACGTTCGACGGTTCAGTTGCCCCCAACCTTCCAAGAAACTGCAACAGCATGTCCTCTTCATTTGTGCAGGGTTTATATCCAGGTTTTGATCATGAAAAAATGAGCTCCTTTCGAACTTTCGGGTGTTCGTGACACATTAGACTCGGACACAGTTAGAAGACATTGTTTCTACTAGCGGCTGCCGGCTTTCATCTACTCCAGTTCACTCATTATCCGAGAACGAAGCAACTTATGTAGTTTTCTTGAGGTTATGTCCTCGTGGGTCGAATTGGCCGCGGACCTCCTCGATAATTCTGGAACGTACTCTGCAGCCGCCAGCAATTTCCGAATCATGCGCGTCTTGATGGCAAGCTACGCCGTGTTTTCGTTTGCTCCGGCTTCAGTGCAGAAACTAAGGCATCTTTCGCATAACTCGATTGGTGAAGGTGGTGCGTTCCCTCAGCCTGGTGAGATTTATTGGTGCGCTGCGAACACTTGTGTACTCGATAGCAGATACTACGAAATCGCTGGTGTGGGCTTTGCTGCTGCGGCTCGGAGGCTACGGAACCCCTACTCTGGCTTGCTCGTCGCATGTGAAATCATGGTAGTGGAAGCCCGGTCGAACCCTCTACTTTGAGCAAGGTTACTCCTGATCCAGTATACCTTTGGGATACTTTTCACTGATGCTGCCCTCGATCACATTCACTCTGCCGACGCTGTCGTGGATGCAGAGAAGATGAGGAGATACTTCGGAAATGTGCTTTCGCTGCACTTACGCGGGCATTGTTGGAGCTTGAACTCATACCATGCAAGTTGGCAAGCTTTCTGAGCTGAGGTGTGGACTTCGACCGAGACGCTGTTCCGCTCACTTCTAGGTGGCCATGCCAAGCTCTAAACAGCGCGATTGTCGGATGATCTTTGCTGTTTTATTAATTGGCCGTTGGATATACCGATGGCAAAGTAGTAGTGGGGTGGTGTGGATCCAGCAAGTCTTCAAGCACGGCAGCTTACAGTAAGTGCTTGGGTATTCAAAATCCATGCGTGCTGCATCCTGCTGACATTGCCATCTTGTACTATGATTTGAGCCATCGTCGCGATATCAATGTGGTCCTAGACTGATACAACACACATTCCAAGCGATAATCACACCTGAATATCCAAGTCCCAGGAATGTGCTGCGACAAAAGGTGCCAGTCATGCTCAACTTGATATCTCGCTTCGTGACCGATACATGATGGTGTAGAAGATCCAGCCCAGGCTTCGCAGCCTGGTTCCCCATGTCGTGTTAGTGCTGTCTTTCGAGCTTGATGGCAGCATAGGTCAGGCTCTGTTAGTTAAGCCAATTTAAGCCACACCCCAAGTGCAAGAAACATGAACTCTTTTCCATCTCCGTCGTTGGTGACCGGGACAGCAGGAACTTGGCAAGCAAGCCCACGGCCCTCAACCATCCTCGGGTCCAATTGGCACAAGCCAGGCAGTACGAACGAGCGGCGGCAAACCTGTCGGCTTCATGAGACCAGGGGTGCGGTCAAAACCAAACGGAGACCAATTAAGAGCTCCAGTCCCAAAGCCTTTGATGCTCGCAAAGCCAACGGCTGGAGAGCATCGGGTCACTGGCACTGTGACGATGAATGTCTTCTCAAGCGGCAAGAGTGGTGCCAATCCAGACACGAGTGAGCAGTTGAAAGCCTGTTTTGGAAGAGATTCGGATCTTGTCCAGTGAGATGTTCTTGACGACAAGTGATCACAAGTGTCTAGGAGAAGAGTGTTGGTGTGCAAATATTAGTGTACAGAACATCTTGAGCGATGGACTGATGCCTGCTGCATGAGACACGTTTTTTTGGGCGGCCCTATTGAAAGCCTGGGCCACTGGAGTGACCTGGTCCGGCTGCAAAGCTCTCCACATCTGCGCCGAACTGCCATCCGGTCCCATGGCCTTTTTGCTCATGGCCACGAGCACCTTCCCCACTTGCTCATCCTGGATGGGGCCCGGCTGCTCAAGCTGCTGATTAGCTTGGTCCCATAATTTCCTGAAGATGGGGTCCTGCCTGACAATATTGCCTGGTTCTGGGCAGCAGAGCTCTTTCCATTCACGACGCCTCAAATGGGGCCTGAGTTCACTGCTCGAGTCTCTGCAAGGTCTCTCCCATTGATTCCCAGGCGACTGAATTGCTTTATACAAGCCTCGCATGCCTCCCTCACAGGCACCTTCTAGCCACTCCTCGTAGCTAGCCTGCTTGTTGTCACGCCATTTCTTGGCTTCCTGCTTGGCCCTGTCCGACACATATTGGACCATGGAGCTCTGTTGCTCACCTTCATCCATGTAACCTTGTAGCTGCGCTTTGAGGACTGTTACATCAATGTCAGTCTCCGGTGGCAGCATGTCCGCAAGCTTTACGAGCTCTTTCTGGAAGAGCTTGCATTGAGAAGGTTTGAGGGCTTCGTCCCGCCTCTGTATTGCCCATAACAAGATCCTGTCCCAGTAGGCAACTTTGCCTCCTTGTGATGCTTGGCCGAGAGGTTTGGAGGCAATCATGGGTTCTCTTTTAGCTGGAAAACACCAGGCCCTGCCCTGCCCTGGCATACCAGCTTCGAGCTCAATCTGTTTGATCTCGGCCCCCCCACTCAAGGCTGTTCTTAGCGTGCACCACCTCATACAACGCTTCCACTTTTCCACATGGTTGCCTTTCCACAGGTTGGTCTGGAGGCGTCATGGGGTCTTGACCAAATTGACAAATCTGGAATCTGCAGCAAAGGCAATGTAGCGCTCTCCTTTGGACACGGTACCGGAGTGCCCCATGCGGCTTGAAAAGGACATCCCACTCGACTTCCACTGAGACATAGGCCTGTAGCTCCACACGGGTGACTGCAGAATCAATGTCAGAGCCCTGAGAGGTGGTGGCCTCACTCGGCGCAATCACCCTACGTCTGACTGCACGCATGAAGGTTGTAG